CGTGGATAAAATTAGCTTAGGGTTGACAAATAAAACGTCACAAGCGAGTACACGATGCTTTCGTCTCGCAAGGCATCAGGCTTCTCTGCAGAAGGAAAGAAATACGGTCGGAGTTGAATGTTGACGATGACACTCCCAAATCCACATTCCTACTCCAGTCGTCGATTATCGTTCCTGCCTACTCGTAATACAATAGTCGTAATGTGGAACCGTTCTCAAATACTGATGTGCTAAAACCTTGATTGATTTCAATTCCTCCTCTATCGTAGGCCCAAATGGTTTACTTCCTTCGCTGCTTTGGTAAACTATGGAGTCTATCCTTCCAAAATCGAAAGCTCAAGCCGTTTTATGCCCCTTGGTCTGTTTTCGTCCAAGTTATAAATCAGTGTCCCCCCCCCCCATCTTCCTTCATTATTCTATAGTTATTTCCCCTAGTTTTTTTTATTACACACCAGTGTGTGATGAACAGCAGATGGGGCGAACCCTATAGTCACGTAGATCCGTTGTTCAGTGGTGGAAACCGGCAACCTAAGCCCCGGGACTTGGAGTGGCGAACTATATGAGGCCTCGATAGGTTAGGCGTGGTATCGAACCGGACGGCAGCAGAGCCACCAAAGTCGGGTGGCGGTGACTGGGCTTGAACCACGAAACATATGGTCCAATGCACACCGATGACAGCGACTAAGTCACTGCGCCAACACCACCCAAGTTGACTTAAACAAGATTTTAAAGTCTTACGTCCCAGTCTGATAAATATTAGCTAAAGTTCTTCAATACCTGAGTTAGTTGTGAAACTTTCATTGTGAGCTTGGCAGCGATCAGTGAAGTTCGCTTCACTGTATCTTGCTGTACGATGATGATGATGATGATTTCAGATTATAATAAAACTTCTTGTATTAACTCTGCAAAGAGAATTTCGACAGACCCTGACCACCTACTGCACGCAAAACTCACTGGGTTTTGTTTCCACCGTCCACACACTCTGAATTCCGACTGACGCCATCTCGTACA